TTTTAAATTGCAGGAATCATGCTTGGTGCACTGTGGAAGTGGGGAGCTGGTCTTGTTGGAGTCGGGCTTATCGCAATCGGATTCTCTCTAGCTGTTCGGGATAAAAAACCATATGAAACCCAGCAGAATAACGCTGGTCGAACTTATTGGTCGTTTATTCCTAAAAAACTTCGTGATTTTTTACGCATGTAAAATTACTAGGTATGCTAATTTTTCGTGGTGAACAAAATAAAATTGGTGCCAACCAGATCTGCTTTGTACACGTAAAAGACTTGCATTGTAAGCGTAAAAATGTGCTTCTTATACAACTACCTGAACGGTCACGTGTGTACTGTACACCTTGCGGATCCGGTTACGCTTCCATAAGCAATAAATACGAAGCATGTATTTGCATACATATTTATGTATAAAGTTGATCTGGCCAAGCGGCGTGTGGAATTACTCAAGCGAATATTATTACGTCCGCGTTTACGTCGTGCTGCTTGAAATTTGCGGCTTGAGGAAAACTCAACTTTTGATTTAATTAAGAAACTTTCAGGATTCGAGATACATATTTTTTCATTTCTGGATTTTCCACTCGTACATACTACATACGTAAATACTCTATTTATAGCCCGGGCTAAAATCATATGTAAACTGGGTGTCACAGACCCGGCTAAAATTTATTCCGCCCTAATTTTGGGCATTAAAAAATTAGCAAATAATTAATGTTGACTCGATTTGAGTTATTATATTTAGCAAAATATGACATCAGTTAAATATTCGCTTTAAATCTACTTCTTTGGACGAGTTTTTGTAGTTTCGAAAAACTTGCTGTCGTGATTATATGCCTTGTAATTTAGATCTTAACACATAAGTCTGTAGATTTTGACCTTATTCGTTGATTAACGGGATGCTCAGTGTTTTTCTAGGATTGTGTATAAACGGGGACTCAGCGGACAAGACGGGTCATAATTAGAGACCCGGTCATAATTAGATAGTTAGAGGCCCGGCTATATTTGGAGACCGGCTATAATAGGGCTACAAATAGAGGTTTTACGGTATATACCTGCATATGTTCATGTTTATGTACGATTTTCCCCAAAAAAGTAATAATGTATGTACGCGTATGTATGTACATACCTCCCTGCGAATGCAATCGATGTATACAACAATGAATAAACATTTACATTGTGTACATGCCCTGTAAATCTCCAAATTTACGAGTTGATCCACATACAGATCTTAAATTCAGGACGACGTACAGTACATATATATCCATGCAACTTTGAGCCATGGCTAAATCTTGCTCCATAAGAAACCCTCGTTTTTAACACTGTTCAGCATTTAGCTAGGGCTCAAAGTTGACTGGATGAAGTATACAAGGCAGGCCTTCCATGCGTAAAACTCACAAGGGAAGGTTCCCGACTGCTTGTCGTGGTTATGTAGGCTACATGTTTTGTAGATTCTACTAGGACCCCATATTAAGGATCCCTTCATATTTCTGTGTTAAACTCGGCGAATTTTAAAACATTTTTCAGCCAAAACCTCGCTTTTTAAAAATTCTACAAGTCTTAGAATTTTAGCGCGAATCCAAAAATTCGAAAACATGTCTCTTCAGAATGACTTTCCTGACTTATAAAATCCAATTGTCTTGAAATTTGATTTTCAAAATTTTTTGCCAGTTTTTGAAATTCATTACAATTTTAAACTTTTTCAAATTTGTAATTTTTCAAAAAATAATGCATGTGGATTTTTCATAAGTTAAATCTGTAAGTAAATCTGTAAGTAAAATTTGTAAGTCATTCTGAAGACACATATTTTCGAATTTTTGGATTCGAGCTAAAATTGGAAAATTTACGCTGAAAAAACGAATAAAATTCTTGCTTCGGGATCAAATCAGCACACTAAATATACAAAAAGTATGTATGCATGTTTAGGACATAGCTCGCAATAAATTGGTCCATGGAGCAAGTATTTTGTGGTCCATGGTCCATTTTGGTAAATCATGGACCATTTTGATTTGGTGGACCATGGTCCATTGCGAATAATGCGCATTTCTTGTGGTGAACAAAATAAAATTTGTCCCCTGCAAATAAATCCGAGTTTAACTTGTGAAACGCCTACCTTATTGGGAATTAAATTCATCTCAAGTTATTTAATACATACATAGGTAAGCAAACATTGAAGTTATGTAAATTTATCAGATGTGGTTGGAAAAAACAAGAAAAAATTAATGACCGAATCTTGGGCTGATTATTTATGACGAAAAGGTCACGATGTACGTTATGCTATTTTAGTAACTTCGCAATTAAGAAGGGGGCCGTTCATAAAGAATGTGGTCGATTTTACGAGGGTTTGGACCCCTTCCTAACTTGTGTGAGTTATATGTAAATATCATAATCATACATGTTCAAAAATTGAGCTTTCATTCCAAAATCGGTCATCACAATTGCATGCACATTCATTCATTCATTTGTTTTAAGTTGATTTTATTCCACTTCATCGGACTTCATTTCTTACATCGCCCCATGTATTAATCATATGGTTGAAAATGGCGGAGTGAAAAATTCATTCATAGTAATTCATCGGAAACGGAAACGGAATCCTTGACTCATTTTTATTCAAATTTGACAAATGAATTCAAATGAATGGGATTCATTTTCAAATCAGTCAAATGAGTAAAAATGAACATGTACATACATATGTATGTATGTATGGTTATAGTTGCCTTGTTGGGAGACCTCCATTGTAAGTAAAATTTACTCAAGATTGAGTAAGGCAAGGTCCATACATAAATTATGTCACGCGAGAGGGGGGAAGGGGGTCAAAGCTCCATCCAATGATCTCGTGCCTATGTGACACATGTTAAAGGGGGGGAGTGGGGTCTAGAAAATCGCTTTTATTGCGACACAATTTATGGATCACCCGTTAGAAATAGGATGACACAACGAAATAGTAACATTTATTCAACAGATGTACAAAATTTGTCCAGCGTTGCATAAAATTTGTACAACGGGTGGGTAAATTTTGCACAACGTCGGACATAACTTAACCATTTTGTAGTGTCACCCCCTCTTCTACGCAACCTTGAGTAAATTTTACTTCTTTTTATTTAGAGTGTACATTTTCGCAGATTTCAAGGTTTGAAAACCTGTGAATTTCCAGCTCAACAAAAATTGTTTTCAGAAATCTGAATCTGCAACGGTTCAATTTATAAACCTGAGATTTCACAATTTTTTCGTTTTTTTATTTTTTGAAAATTATATATTTTGCTGAAAACAATTCGTCAGGAGGAATATGCTAATGTAAATTTCACGATCCTCATTTTCGACGATAAGGATGCGTCTTAATATTCGAATGAGGTGACTGTTTAGCACAAATAATTTCCACTGCCCGGGTGAAAAATTTAAGTAGTTTTATGCACAAATTTGGCTGGTTTTTATACAGAGAATTGGCTGGATTTTTGGAAAACAATTTGTGCAGAAATTATGCATAATTGTGCAAAACCTTTCTGCAGAATATACCTGTCAGAAGTTTTATGCACAATCGTTCATACTTTTTCTGCACAAACCATTGGTCCGGGTAGTTGTGTGGAATTATGTCAAATTCGATAAACGATTTTCACACGGGTATTTTTAGGATCCGAAATAAGTTAACAAATACGTGACGTAAGTTGTCACGTATTTATCTTAGATACTATTTTATTTATTTTAAGTAACAGCCACCTTTTTAACGCTTTGTAATAATAAACTATAGTTAGGAGTAAAAATAATTGAATAAATTATTTAAAATATTTATATTTATGTGCGTACATATGCCAAATAACACTGTACGAAACTTCCGTACAGAATTGACAATACCAAATTAACCGGGCACCATTTTCATGCCTACATATGTAGCTGTAATATAGGCGAACATATGTAGTTCAAGGTAGAAATACGTCTATTCAGATTTAGTTTAATAATTACGAAATTCTTACATATTTCCTAACTTTAGAGTAACTATACATAGTATTAGATAAATAGTGACAAATTCATAGTGATAAAGTCAGGCCATAAGTTTTAAATCTCTTCTAGTACCCCACAAGGCAAAAATAACATTAACTTTAATTTAGGGAACTACTGGAATCTGAATTTTTGATCCGACGTGTCAACCATGGAGAGAAAAGTAAGAATGGAAAAAACTTGGAATTCCGCTCATTGGCAAAACTTCACGTCCATTGGATTCCTTACCTGACCTGTGGGGTGTTCCTTGATTGCAATTGTCTTGTATTGAAGAATTGCGACTCAATATTCCGTCAGAAAGATGTCCAATGGGTAAATGTTAATTGTCGTCCGTATGCGGCAATCGTTGTCAACGGAAAAGTTGGAAATCAGACTGGTCAAAGCAATATGATGGACATGATCAATGAAATCGAAAATGACGAAAACTATACAAAAAAATCTGTTGAAAAAATCGAAAAAAATACGGGAAACTTGCTTACTGCGTCGAGATTGATGTTTCAAGGTATGTTTTGTAAACATATCAAAGGAAGGTAAACACATTATGTAGTGCGTAGAAAATGTACCATTGTTTTATTTATATGATACGTTTAGCAAATATCCCCAAGCTCGTACTGGTGATGATGTAAAGATGGCCTGGTTTCCGAATTCTGGCCATCCAATAGAGGCAACGAGTTCTATCAGGGACACATTCGAAGCTGATTTAACCGAATTTTGGAATTCACTTCTATCTCCTCTCATCGCTTTGGACTCAAAAGTAATTTAACTGTACCATCATTATGTTAGCCACATACATACAATTAAATATTAAATATGGTTATTCATTGTTTACAGCGAGAAGCTTAACCTATCATCAACAATTCAATCTCCACGTCGATGAATAATTCTGTAGGCATGGCGTGTCGATACGCTGGTGCGAATAGTATCGAGGAATTTTGGTCATAACTTGAAAATGGAAAGGATGGAATTGTACGTGTCCCAGAGGGGAGATGGACAAGTGACAATGCGGTCATCAGGATGGACAATATCCGTAACACGGAAGCTGGATTCCTTTCTTGCCGATTAGACATGTTTGACGCGAAATTCTTCACCACCAACCATTCTGATTTGGGATACCTGGACCCCCAGCAGCGACTTGCACTCAAGGTTGTATGGGAAGCTTTAGAAAATGCTTCAATCGATCCAACAACACTAAGGAACACACTCACCGGAGTATTTGGTGGCTGGTGGAGAAACGATTTCAAGGAAATGCTACAGTTTCAAGGAATTAACAGCACAGATTTCTTGCGTGTGTACATGGGTAATGCACTTGGACCTTTGACAGCGAGGATTTCACACTTTTTTGATTTGGTAGGACCCGCCATATCAAACGAGAGTGCTTGCTCCACCTCAATTGCTGGTGTTGATATGGCATGCGATAGTTTGAGAAACGAGAATTGCGATTGCGCCATCGCAGTCGGAGTGAATCTTCTTCTCCACCCTTTCCCTCCCGCTGATATAGCAATGGAAGGAATTCTGACACCCGATGGAAGATGCAAAACATTTGACTCGTCTGCGAACGGATTTGGACGTGCGGAAGGAGTGGGGGCTTTGATACTTAAAAGATTTCCTGACGCCGTCTCCAACGGGGATAGGATTTGGGGACTTATTCGTGGATCTTCAATTGTCCAAGAGCGAACATCGCGAAGCATGGGGACACCAACTGTAGCCGTTGAGGCTAAAGCTATGCAGCTCGCCCTAGATCGAGCTGGAGTGGACCCGAATGATATCAAGTTTGTGGAATCGCACGGAACCGGGACTAGCGTTGGTGATCCGATCGAAGTTGCTGCAATTGCACAAGTATACGGTGGAAGAAGGGAGGATAACCCCCTAATTATCGGATCAGTTAAGACAAACATTGGCCACACATAATCTGTTTGCGGGATCGCTGGCATTCAAAAAACTGTGTTAGCCATGAAAAATAATCAAATACCAAAGCACCTGCATCTTAATAATCTACATCCCGATATTGATATTACATCAATTCCGGCAATAGTTCCAATCGAAAGTATTCCATGGCCTAAGAGTGTTACCCCAAACCCTCGAATTGCTGGTGTTAACTCCTTTGGATTTACTGGCGCCCAGGCACATGTTATCGTGCAAGAACCACCAGACATACAAGACCACAGCTTCAGTAGTCAAAAGGACAGCAGAGAGGTCAGAATTCTAACGTTTTCGGCAAAAACAGACACCTCGTTGACAGCACAGATAAATGGATATTCAACATTCTTTGAATCTTGGACACAGTTTGGGAGAGTTTGCAGCAATGGTTGCCGCTGGAATGATTAGTGTGGAAGACGCCCTAAAATTGGTTGTAGCAAGATCCCAACTCATCGATGCATTGCCGTCGTCATCAATGTTGGCTGTTGCCACTAACTTGGAAACTCTTTGGTCATATCTAGAAAAGGCAGGAATTCAGAAAAATGGTGAAAAATGTCTTGATATTGCCGCAGTCAACTCCGTTGGCCAAACAGTTATTGCTGGAGACACCAAACTTATTGACGGCTTCAGAGAATTTTGTGTTAACAACGGGGTGGTTACCCACAAATTAGATTCACGTCACGCCTTCCACTCCAGACTTATTGATGGAATTTTGAAAAAATATGAGGAAGTTGCGGGAGGAGTTGGATTCCTACCATCTCAAATTAATTACATATCCGGGGTCGAAGGAAGGTCTATTTCTAGTATTGATGTCAATTACTTATTGAGGCACACAAGAGAACGAGTCAATTTCCTCGAGGCAACCCAGCACGCGGTGAAGGAGGGCTACAGTCTATTTCTTGAACTTGGACCTCATCCCGTCCTGTGTCCACTTGTTGTAGACAATGGGGATGAGGCAAGTTATGATTTCATGTTGATATCACTAATCCAAAGAAGTATATACATATGACTAAAGAACTAAAATAATGTGAATTTCACAGTTAGCAAGTAATCTGAAGGTATTACCATCCATTCGCAAGCAGACTTCTGATTGGACCACAATCCTATCATCTTTGGCCCAACTTTATTGTTTGGGCAAACCAATAAATTGGCATAATTTTCATCGTTTTTCTCGCGCAAAGAAAATCGATTTACCCGGATATGTATTTGAAGAAAAATCTCATTGGATGACACTTGAAGATAAAGGGTCCACAACTTTCCATCCTTAACTGGGGTCCTACATTCCAAACGCTTCCGATAATACTATTTTTGAATCTAATGTGAATGTGCTACGCTTGCCATTTTTGAAAGATCATATCATTGGGGATAAGATGATTGGAGATAAGATTATATTCCCATGTGCGGGATATACAGACATGTGTATGACTGCAGGCTTTGCTGACGCCAAATGTGAGGAAGGGGTGTACGTGAAACCAACCTCCCCCATTGCAGTTACTAATTTCGAGATATCTACTCCAATTTGCTTAAATGACACTCAAGGGACCGATTTCCAGGTGTGTATAATAGTAACCGATTATCTATTTAACCTTAGCTTATTTGCTCTGCCTAACTTGTTAATTTGTTTAATGTATTAGGTCGTCGTGTCTAAGAATACTGAAGGAGATGCGATATCTACAGTCTATACTCGACTGAACTTAGAAAAATCGAAATTTAAATGGGTTAAAAACGCTTCAGCCAGATTTGATCCAAACCCACTACCACCAAATTCAAGCGTATTAAATTTCACCGAGATTAAGTCCACGATTTGCGAGCCAGTGAAGATTTATTATGACAAGGAATTAGGTGAAACCTATGAGCTCAGACTTGGACCTTCGTGTCAAACGGTTTCAAGCCAAGGGTGGAAACATCCTGAAAATGACCTAGAGTATTTATTTCCATTCAAATGCTATGAAGCGCAAGAAGACCTGGACCGGTTTATTATGCATCCTTGGATTACGGATGCTATGGTTCAAACGCAAGCTTATATTTTAGCTTATCTCAGAAGGACTGAAATGAAGACCAAGTTATTTGTTCCTGTTCTGTTTGACAAATTTGTTTGGTGGGGACACTCGAAGCCTTCGGGGTTTGTATACGTAAAAGTTAGCAATGGTGACAACGAGGCTCATATGTACGATGACACCGGGCGACTGATGGCTTCCTTGATTGGACTAGAAATTGTTGAAACCTCCCTGCAAAGTATTATGGGCCTGATTGACTCTCATAGAAGCTTGTATCCAATGATGGCGGAGTGCATTTGGAATGAGAATATGGGCCCAGAAGAGAAGAGAATTTCAGACTTCGAACGCGGGACTATCTCACTTCACGGAATTGTTGAGACGTTAGAAGTGTGCAGTAAGTTTACAGGAGAAGAAGAATCTTTCTATACAAGTTTACAGCAATTGACAGGTCTTTACATGCTCAAGGCTGTGACAGAGCTAGGAATAAATGAGGAACCGTCCTTTAGCTGGCCTAATATTACAGCAAAACTTAAAGTTCCTACAAGGCTGAGCAAGTTTTTCCGTTATATTTTGTTGGAAATGGCCAATGACGGCTATTTTGAGTTACAAGTTGGACAACAACTCGACAACGAAGTTATACATTTTGTTCGATCACAAAGCCCTCAAACTTCGGACGTGGGACAAATTTGTGCAAAAATTTCAAAAACAGAAGATATGGTTTTCGCTGCACATCCCGAACTAGTGAACAACGATATCACTAATGCCAAGAAGGCTTGGAGCAATCTGGTCAAAATTTTAACTGGTCAAACTTCGCCGATCTACTTGGAGGAAAGATTGAGAAAAATGATGGAAAAGTTGTTAGCCACACCGACTCTTTGCTTCCTACGAAACGACGGGCCTTGGGCCCACTAGTGTTCGCTCTGCTGGAAAATCTATCGAAACTGGGAACGAAATCGGTCGTCAGAATCTTGGAAATAGGAGCTGGAGAAGGCAATGGAACATATGAATTAATTAATCATATTAAGCACATTGGCGTTGCAAGTTTCACTTACACGTATACTGACCTGTCTTCCACTAGTTTAAAAAAAGGAGAAGACTTGTTTGTCGACACGGACATCCCAGCTAATTTTGCAATCTTGGATATCAACGAGGACCCCCTTTGCCAGGGATTCTTACCACAGCATTACGATGTGATCGTTGCCTCATGGGTTCTTCATGCTACTAAAGATTTACAGCAATCCTTAAATAATGCAAAACTCCTTCTCAAGCCTCACGGTTATTTAATCATTGATGAACTTGTAAAGCCATGCAGATAAGTTAACCTGGCTTATGGTGGTCTGGAAAGATTTTGGATGTTTGAAGACTTGGAGCGTCGTCCATGGAATTGTGAACTATCAGTTCAGGGATGGAAGAATCTACTTCAAAGTTCAGGATTTGCTGAAACCGTTGAAATTGAAACTTATGGAGGGGTCACTGCATTAATCATCGCGAAATTGAACATGAATAGCTCTGTTGGAAATGTCGATGCAGCTATAATATCCGACAGTTCGATTTGGCTACTGTTTGGTGATCATGACCAAGACTCCCTTAGCTTTAAAATTAAGCAAAGGCTTCTAAATATTGGACAAAGATGTATTGTTATAGCCCGTGATGATGTTCAACAAGACACAATCTCCAACATCTCTAAATACATTTCTCCCCACATGCAAGGTATTGCGGGAGTAATTTTTATGTGGGGAATGGAACCGGGCTTAAGCTATCTTAAAATATGCGAACCATTCCTCTATATTTGCAAATACTTAGCTGAAAACTCAATCCCGAATCCTCTAAAGCTTATTACTGTCACCTCTGGATGCATGTGCATCGGTTCAGCTGATTACACAACACGTATTCCCGATTCAGCTCCTATTGTGACGATGGCACAAGTTCTGGGAAATGAAAACAATGACTATAGATGCAAAGCGGTGGACGTTGATTGTGGTGAAAATGTTGCGGCGGAAGTGTTCTCTGAGCTATTTCTATGGGATTCGGACACTATGGTTGCCTACACGAATGGGAAACGTTGCGTTCCTCGTCTAATTAATTACAAAGTCAAAAATACATCAATCGAGATACCACGTACAGATAAAACTCGAGTGGCTATTCCTTTAACATGTGATATCGCCGACCTTCATTTTGTCCCGCTAAAAACTGATGAGCTACTGGATGGACAAGTCGAAATTCAAATTAAATCTTATTCCATTAACTTATTGGATGTGCTAATTGTAACAAAACCTGATTCTGTCTTCGATTCCATCAATCATTTGGGAGTAGATATCGCTGGGGTTGTTACAAAAGTGGGGCCAGGATGCAATACTTCCAAACTGGGCGATCGTGTTGCGCTCATTCGTCGAACAGGAGAACCCCTTCCAAGCCATTACAATGCCTGGGAAGAGCAGCTCATCCCAATACCGGACTCCATGACTTATAACGACGCTGCAACTTTCCCATTGTCATCGCTCACTGCCTTATATGCACATGTACATCTTAATCAAACGAAAAAGGAAGACACTCTTCTTATCCACACAGCATCAGGAGGAGTTGGCCTAATTGCCATTCAGTTGGCCAAGCACATAGGGTGCACCATTATTGCAACGGCCGGAAGTGAGAGAAAATGGAATTACCTGAAAGCTCTAGGACTGAAGTATGTATTTAATTCAAGAACCACTGAATATCAGCATGACATCAGAGCTGCACTAAATGGTCGCGGAGTTAGCGTTGTTCTGAACTCCTTAACTGGGACAGGATTTAAAGAAGCCACTTTATCTGTGTGCGACAGTGGTGCCACATTTATTGAAATGAGCAAAATAAATATCTGGAATAAAAGGGAAGTTAAAGAACTAAGAGAAGATGTACGGTATGAAATTATCGATGTTTCTGCACTTCCCACTAGAGATTTACGACCATTAATAGATGCATTAAAAATCCAATTCGCCGATGAACTCTAAAACAATTATCGTCCTTCCCCGCTTCCATATACTTGCTTTGAGTCATGCCGCATTAAAGAGGCGTTGGAATATGTTGAAAAAGTGAAACATGTTGGAAAAGTTATTATTACAATGCCAGAAATGAATAAGCATGGCGTAACGACGTATAAAATGTTTTACGACCAGGCTATTTACTTAATTACGGGTGGATTTGGCGGAATTGGGCTTGAAGTTGCAAAATGGATGATAAATTCCGGTGCTAAGAAACTTTTATTGGTTGGCCGCAGCTCGCCAACTCCCGAAGTAACCCACTGTCTAAATAACTTACGTCAAGATGGCATAGCAATAACGGTTCGACAATGCGATGTCGGAGATTTTGATCAACTACAGATGTTGATACAAGATGTAATAAAAAATTTTCCACTCCGAGGGATAATTCATGCGGCCGGAGTTTTGGACGACGGCACCTTAGAGACTCAAACGTGGGAGAGATTTGAATCTGTATATCAGGCAAAAGTTAGAGGTTCCTGGAATCTCCATATGGCCAGCTTGACGTTAAAATTCCCATTGGAACACTTTGTAGTGTTTTCTTCTTTGGCTGCAACTCTATCAGCGCCAGGACAATGCAATTATGCGTCCGCCAATTACTATCTCGATTCATTGATCCACTACAGAAATTCTCTTGGATTACCAGGCTTAACAATCAACTGGGGACAATGGGGTTCTGTTGTAATGGCTGCAGACATAAAGTATTCGTTCATTAAACCCTTTACAGTTCACCAAGGAGTTCACCAAGCAGCACTGGAACATGCAATGAAATCCCACAAAACTCAAATAATACCTTACGAAGGAGACATGGGTGCAGCCAAAAAGATTTTGGCTTCTGCCAGAGGACTCCTGTTAAACATTATGAACTCTTCGGAAGCAACCGTTCTTCAAATTGACGGTGACCAATTTTGGATCGAGTACGACTTAGCAACTGAGGTTGATGAACGCATAGAAATTTTGAAAAAATATATCAAACAAATCATACGGATCACATTAAAACTAAACGAAACCGAAAAAATTGATGATCACGCAACCTTTCAAGATTTGGGTCTTGATTCGCTGATGATGGTCGAACTCAAAAATGGATTGCAATCATCGGTGGGGAAAAGAGTCAAAATCTCAATTAATTCCGTCAAAGATTGCAAAACAGTTTCAGAATTGGCAACTCGCTTAGTCGATCTCATCTCTGGAAATAATCCTATTCCGCTCTTGACACGTGATCAACTAAGGGACTTGGTATATTCTGATGCAAAATTGCCAGACAATATTCAAGTAGACAGCTATCTGGCATCGACACTGTGCCCCATAAATGAAGTCTCCACGGTTTTAATAACAGGTGTTACCGGAACCCTTGGCTCTTATATATTGCGTGATCTACGGCGAAACTATCCATCAGTCAAAAAAGTTTACTGTATGATGAGACCAAACTCCATGCTCTCGACTGAGGATCGTTTTCATCATTCTTTACAAGCTAAAAATTTACTTTCTCAAGAAGAGTTGGACAATTGGGTAGAAACCATACCGGGCGACGTTGGAAAGGAACTAATGGGCATGAATACAACTACATACTCAGAAATTTCTTCTAAAGTAGATGCAGTGTTTAATTTAGCGGTTCATATTTCGTTGCCAGAAAGGTACAATGTCATAAAAACCCTGGGTAGCAGTAGAATGACTAATGTTCAGGGCTTCAAAAACGTGCTTGAATTTGCTGTTGCGAATAAGTTGAAATATGTCTATCAGACCTCAACCATTGCGGCGGAGAAAGAACTAGAGGCGGATGAGACTTACAAGGAGAATTGGCTGAATCTCAGTCAGATTGACAAATTTCCCAACTCTGGCTTCGTAATTTCGAAATTGATCGCCGACAACCTAGCGGAACAAGCGGTTAATCTTGGAATTCCTTGTAAAGTGTTTAGAATGCCTAATATTGGGGGGGACAGCCAAACCGGTGGGAATGTGCCACTTGAAAGCTTCCACATAATGCGTTTCCTTTCCTATATGCAACTTGGTGCAATGGCCGCTGTGAGCGTCCCCCTCTGCATGATGCCTGTCGATCTGTGTGCTGAATACTCCCTGCGGTTGTTCTTTATGAAGGACACGCCGTATGAAATATACAACGTGATTAATCCCGAGCTTGGTAAGTACGTAGGGATATGCTATAGATAGTTGCAGTGGCGGCGGAAGTTGCGGGGACATGTGGGGACATTACCATTGCGAGATAGGAATAGGAGGGGCTTATTAACATGGGCAAGATAGGATTTTGCTGAATTTCTGGGCGGACAATGTCCCCCTATCCCCCTGCTTCCGCCGCCACTGCAACTATCATAGTTGCAATGCAGTAATAATATTCTGCAGTAGCCAAATTGCATCTAAATTCTGACGTTACAAGTTACTCCTCGTAATTGTATTCCACTTTCTGCTCGGGGTCTAAGGTTGTACATTTAATTGTGTTTGTACCTTTGTGTAGATGACGAACGAGAGTTTGACGAAATAGCCAAAGAACTGGGGGTCGAAGTTGATGTGGTGGAACCACAAGAGTTTATCGAACGCGTATCAAAATTAGAGGATAACTCTCAAATTAAACTGTGAGCCAAATAATAGAATATGAAAGTGACCATGGCGCTATTGCCGAAGATCTGCCTGCCTCCTTCGTGGCTTTCCTTCAGGGAAAGAAAAATATTGCATGGAGCAAGAAATTGGCCCGATTTATTCCTGATATTTACCCGTCAAAGATAATTCCCTCGCGGGAAATACTTTGTAGGGACTTGGATATGGCAAAGAAAACAGGAATTTTTGCAAAATATGGGATTAATTATGCGAAATAATTTTTTTTCATGATACTTACTTCATTGAACTTGATAGTTTAACCTGCAATAGAAAGTAGATGGTATCGGTGGCACCTTCATTACTAACATTTTAGTTACAAGGATTACCTATTAATTACATCTGATATATTGAGTTGGTGGAGGGAAAATATTTCTTGTACAATGGTATGCCAAGACGAAAAAGGGAATAAATCGTGCACACTAAAATGTTCAGTGAAGTTTTATTAAACATAGTACTTTGGGTGTCTCCACTAACACTTGAGGTCTCCCAAAGTATGCTCACAGATTTTGACCAAGCAACACAAGCCCAATCGGTCACAAATTAAATTAATAGGAAATTAAGAAATGACAATGCGCCAGGTTGGTGTAAATATTTGCATCCAATGGGTGTAAAGCACGCCTGAATGGTGAGAAAGCATGAACTGTCGAGATATATTGTACGTTTTATTGACTTCGAATTTGGCAAATATCTTCGCCAAACCTGCGCATTGGGGGATAGTTCATATTGCAAATTTCATCTTTCACTGGTTAAGCCTTGGATCAAGTATTGACACTGCTTTCAACAAAATCGGGATTGCATACGTCTGGAAACCGGTAGTATTTCGTTACTTGCGCGTTTTTCTCATTTTGTGCACTGCAAAGCAAGAAATACAAGGAAGTGCAAAAAACACAGCGCCATCTAGCGACGGTCCTTCAGAACTATGGCGGCGGGATGGAGTTTCTTGCACTCTGCATTTCTTGCGGGTAGAAATAGCTGCAAGAAACCAATTTCTTGCAGGTGGTCACTTGCACCCGAAACACTGAAAACGTTATGAATACATACATAAATATCCGGCCTGTACTAATAAACTGCTTAATTAGATATTCATATCTAAATAAATGTTCCATTACTTTTCCCGTCTGTAGTCATATTTATGTCTGTTAGGTGCTACTGTTCAGCCGATATTAATAGTCTGAAAAAAATCTGAGAGGTTTCCTGGCAGATTATTTCATAATATTTTCAAAAAACCAAATAACCTCTCAGAAAAATTTCCAAGGAATTGAGACTATTAATATCGGCTGAACAGTAGGTATCCCTTGAAATGACGGTTTCCGAAACCGTCATTTCAAAATATTTACTTAAAACCATGTTCTCTCCGTTATCTAAGCACATCTCCATCGGGGTTGAAACCGGTTACAAAGATGCACATGTACGTTGATTTTTTTAAAACTGAAAACGGGCCCGTAGATTATTCACGCAAAAATCCATTCGACAAAATTTGAAATCTGAGAAGGGAACAAATCCAACGGATGCAAAAAATTTAGTGAAATTACGAAATTGTCCTGAATTATTGGATTTTTTGTAAAATGGTGGAAATTTTCTGAAATTATGCAGGCTCCATAGCATCATAAACAATGTGTGGATTGTGAAGTTTTTCTTAATTTGCAGAAAAGTCATCATAAGTATGGAACCTTTTTTCAAGCTACACCCGTATCGACTATGTAGCGAGTTAAATATGTCAAAAAATCAAGCCAAAAATTATGAGTCACGTGCCACTTCTATTTCCGTTTGGCGATTAAGTTCAATTTTTGAGCAAATTTTTTCTTTCGTTTTCCTCCACGGGGCGAAAACCAGGGCAGAGTGCGAACTTTAACCGCCAATATTCTTCTTCAAAAGGGCCATTCAACGAAAAGAGAAGTGTCACGTGATTCCTAATTTTTGGCTTGATTTTCTGACAGAACTCGCTAGTCGATCCCGGTGTAGATTGAAAAAAGGTTCCATTGTTGGCCAAATTTGTTAATTAATATGTACATTTCAAATTCTGCACCTGTTATGAACATTATTAATATCATGATTGAAAGCATTGATTTCCGTGTTTCGAAAATGTTATCATCGGAATTTATTATTCTCTTCCTGCAGAAGTAATGACATATTACTTGACAGGAACCAAAGTTATTAAATATTATGTAGGAATACTTTAATTTCAAATTTATAGATTTGAATAGTTTAGTAAATAAATTAAATTTAGAGTTCCAAGTGAGTTTACTTTTCAAAAGGGAAATATTATACAAAAGAGTGTACTAAAGCGTGCTTTGTCCCGATTTCTCGAGTAAATATTTGAAAACTGGTACCTCAAAAATGGTGAAAACATCGAGATTTTTTTTATCAGAGTATGTAAACTAGCCTTTCGCCAGTTTATACTTAACTCGTTTCTTTTGACTTGGTACACATATCTTAAATCTGTGTCGGGTTCCCCCCCAAAAAAAACATCGCGACGACTTAAATCGACACCTTGACATAAGTGGCCAAATTTAAGTACAAATAGCGTCACGCTGTCAGGAATGATTGAACTCTTGATGTATGGCTAACATCTCCTTCCGTGCAAACGCTTGGGAGCAGGTCGGGCAGGAAAATGGTTTCCGTGAGTGAACGATTTCCACGTGTCTGTCTCGTTTCGCAACCGCGTAGAAGATCGACCGGCATCCTGTCACAAGGGAAAGGCTTTTTTAGTTAAGAAGTTTAAAAATATCGAAATGCTTAAATCAGTAAAGGGTGTTAATTTAGGTTGTCCCGATTTTTCATGTCAAAATTTGAAACCTTGTAGATCAAAAAGGGTGCAAACTATGTAAGGTGATATCAATTCGTCCCTCAGGGAAAAATTCGCAAATCTCCATTAGTTACCGAAATTTTGCCTCTGAAATTCAATATTTCAAGAATTTGGTCATAAGTTGTGTCGCAAATTGACTTTGACTTTTGCTGCAAGTTGAGAACTTATGGAAAAAAAACAAGTTTTTTTTTGTTTTTCCATAAGTTTTGATAAAAATTAATAAAAATCTCGACCCCAAATCCGTAACTGATGGAAGTTTACGAATTTTTCTCATTAAAAAATTTTCCATTGTAACCTAATTAGTCTTTTGGAAATTCATAATTCTCTTTTAACTTTGTATATACTAATTTTTCATGAATTTGTGTCCTCTTCAGAATTTTATTGGTGGAAAATGAGTCAGCTAATGTTTCCAGACGCCACTTTTTTCGAAAAACTATGAATGAATCGATAAAAAATTCCTCACCTTTCACCGGACAGGGCAATTTGGCGTCAAGACACTCTGCGTTCCTCGTGTGGGTCTCCATGTGCGTGTTGTAGCCGCCCAAGCTGGAAAAACGTTTGTTGCACAAGGCGCAAATATACTTGCGCCTATCCCTCTTCCTCACCCCCCAATAGGAGGGCATCTTAATCTGAAAAAGGGAAAAAATTATTAACATCTTATACATAACGTAATTATTTATTTACACCAATGGGTATGTTTCCCTGCTGAATTGAGTATACAAAGTTGTGTGTCAACTGGAGCGACGGTGGCGCACATACCCATCTGTGTATTATTTAGTTGCTAGGTGAGAAGTGGTGGCGCTCGGGTGCAACACCTACCAGTGTATTATTAGTTGGTGAATGTGCATAGACGGCGCTCATAGTGTGGCTACTATCGCTCGTCCAGTACTCCTTCTAGATAGAATAGTATAGTTCTGTGATTTACACCATTTGTTAAAAAATTTCCCTAGTAAAAATTTGAACAGATTTCCTGCAGAAAATTGGCCCAATATTCTGCAGAAAATTGGCCCAATTTTCTGCAGAAAAGCTTTATGCATAGAGCTTTCTGAAGAAACCTATTCAGAATTATGCATAATTATGCACATATGGTCCTGCAGCATAATAGCGACACAAATTTTCTGCAGGATTATGTAAAACAAATTATGCATAATACAATATGCATAGGGGTTTTGTCGATTTCTGCAGAATTCGGCAAAGAGACTTCAACCAGGGTTAGTTTTCATTCATAAGTCATTCATGCCGATTGCTGACTGATGCGTATTGTCATTTTTTACATTCATTAATTTTCTAAATCATTACATTTCACATTATTCCTTGGACTTCATTTCTATTTCTTAATGTTTTAGGCTTAGGGTGAAAAATGAAATGAGTGATAAATTCTTTCATTCACAGTCATTCATGTGACATGACTGTGATCATTTTCATTAAAATGACAAGAAATTCATTTTCATTCACTATCATTCCCCATCATAATTAGTCAAATGAATGAAAGTGAACAGGTATATGTCACAGCTTGGCCGCAGGGGTAAAAATTCTGTGAAAATAAATCACAAGATTTATGTAAGGCCCCCGAACTCATTTCATTTCATAACAAATTCATTCATTTCATTCGAATTCATGTACTAATGATTTGGTAATTTGCATGAATCTCTTACCAAGCTCCAGATTGGGACTCTTCCCCGTCCTTTGCGCGGTAAGGGCAGAGGTCCCGTGGACGACGAGGGGGTCATTTCTGGTGGTTTATCGTCCTCCTGGCGGTATCCGTCGGATGGCGGCAGCAGCTCCAGCGGGTCGGGACCCATCTCTGGGGCGAAATCGGGGAGAATAAATTCGCCGATTTGGTCGTCTTCTTCAATTTCCACTTTGACGCCGATTTCGGTATCGAGATCGACATCTTCCCGTTCAATTTTGATTGGAAGTTGCTCCTCCTCCATGCGGGTTTCGTGATCTAGTAAAATCGGTTGAAAGTCATTGATCATAATTTATGATTTATGAATTGGAATGAAATTTTGAAATTTTGTAGTAGAATTTTGTAAACGAGTGGTTCCCTTTTACATTAAAAAAAATATTTTACGCGTGAGCTAAATAGTATTTAAGGGTCGTCCATAAATTACATGACGCAAGAGAGGGGGTCTAGAAAAGCACGATTTTTGCGTTACGTAATTTACAAGCGACCCCACTCAAAGTTACAAAACTCTGAGACTTTTGTTTAACCAAAAAAAACACCCATCCATTAAAGAAATTGAGGTTACTTGGTAATTGTGTTTAAATATAAGCAGGAGCCACGAAGTTACTACAAATTTTCACATTAATTGACAAGTCATATTAATGATAAATAAGTATTTCTAGTGAATAATGTAAGATTTAAAAGATCAGATTACGAATTTAGGAGACAGATTTTCAAACAAGAATTGTCTCCACTCACCTGGGCTGCTCTGTTCTCGCGATACAATTACCAAATCTCTTGCCAAACCGGAAACAGGATCTGAAAACATTTAAATATAAATTTGGAACAATGAAAAAAACATAAGTAATAATTTAATTGTTCTTTAATTGTAATTTAATTGTACATACGAGCGACACTCTTCCGCCTCCAGTTTTCCAGAACGTTGTCCTCCTGAAGGGGCTCGTTTTCCTCCAGATTTTCGAACGTGACGGTGTAAATTTTGAGTAAATCGGCCCTCAGTTTTCGCACATCGGCAAAAATCGTCCCCAGCAGAGCGCCACATTTTCGACAACAATGGAAATCTTCGTGGGGAAAGTCGTTTTCGTAATTGGACTCGAAGTTAATGACGTTAATTGTCTTGAGATAAGTTAGAAATGATGGAACGTAATGGTCCGAGCTGTTTTCACGATAACTGGTAAATTTCCGACAAAACAGACAAACTGGTGGAGGAGTTGACATGGTGAAGATAAGGCGTTATCAACTAGTTCTGGAAGGGTTCAAAAAAATTAATTTCACAAAGTTTAGGTACTTAATTTGTAATTAGGCGAAATTTTAAAAAAGTTTACAAATAATTATGAAAAATCTGATTCGTCACATCACCTGCTTTCAAACCTGACCGATAACACGTAAATTTCCTAAAAAAACAAGCAAATTTGTTAAGTTGACTTGGTTCGGAAACTATGGTTTAATTTTATTTTACAATTTTAAAACTATATATTTAAATAAATATTTGCTAATAAATAAATACTAACCGTCAAGTCCAGGGATAAATGGAGAAAATACTTTTTTTTTAAATATGTAAGTGTCTGAAGTGTAAACTTTTTGTTCAAAATATTTTCATTGTAAAATTTAATTGTTCTTAAATCAGTGAATTAACGGGAAAATGAATACAAATGTGTGTCTGCACATGTGATAAATTTATTTATGAGAGATTCAACTCTTCGTCTCCCGGTTTCTGGACGACGAACAAACACAAATTTTGTGCTGGCTACTTTGTTCATGAAATGCTTGCAGTATGGAATATGTAAATGAGGTGTTTTCATGGGAAATATGTCAACCAAGATGGAAAAATACAGATGAATACGTGAAGTAAAAATCAATAATGTTACTCAAAATTGGTAAAATGTGTATGTACTGAAATTTAATAATCTTAATATATGTACGTAAACAACAAAAAAATGACGGGATTTGCCTAGATTTATTTTTTTGATAAAGTTTTATTCTTTTAATTTAAAAACTAGTTCGAGTAGTTTGAAAGTGACGGCTTTCAGATACAAGTTTCAAATAAGATTTTCAGAATACGCGTGACTAAATTCGTACTACGATTCGAGTGAATTTGACATAAATGAATGTCTACATCAGAGGTCGACGCCGCCGATCTCACGCCGCCGCGCCGCCATACGCCGATGATTTTTCCGCGCCGCCGCCGCCGAAAAATGTGATTTCCTATTCCTTTAACATTGCGACGCCGCCGAAAAATCACCAAAAACTGGCGCCGCCGCCGCCGAAAATTTGTCGGCGTCGACCTCTGGTCTACATGTATGCATGCATATCTTAACTAACTCGACATGTTCGCCTTAATATGTGGTGATAAATTTCTTTCCGGATGTATGTATCAGTGCCCGTACGACCCCAAAAATTTACCCAAACATATTTGAGCGCCCCAAATTTTTCCCTTCTTATATTTATGTATATCTACATAAATGATTTTTTCAAGGGGTAAAAAAAGGCCATAGTAATATTTTCAATTTGTCTCAAACTTAGTTATTCGATATTTTAATGAGAAAACCTAGAAAGAAATCAATTAGCTCAAAATGAAGGTCTTTCGCATTTAAAATTCTGATGCACTTGGGACCAATTTTATTTTTTTTCGCCAACAAAATAAGGACACCCATAATTTTTTTCAGAATTCTCTAATTCGAGCCCGATACTTGCATTTTAATTTTTTTATAGCCAACACTTCTAATTTTTTAAATTCTGGAACTTTTAAAATTCGAAAAATTCGAAAACATACTGATTCGCCAGACTTACTTGGCTTATAAAAATTCATAGGCAATATTAAATGAAATTTAAACTTGGCCAGAATCTTCTTTCAGGAATTTCTGAAAATAACAAAAAATCTTACACTTAAAATGACGCGAAAATTGATTTTAATAAATGAGATATTTCTTCTGAACAAACATGTTTTTGAATTTTTGAAGTCGCCGTCAACTTCGAAAAGTTCAACATTTTTGAAAACCAGAGGTTTTGACTGGAAAAAAGATTAAAATTCGCGCCTCGACAAAATACAATTAGCCTCTAATTGTATAGTGTAAACTGAATTTTACATGTTAAATTATTTAACATGTAAAATTCAGCTTAAATACTGAATATTTTTCCCATTGTGAATGGGAAAAATAATTTGAATTTTGGTAGTGATATTAAAAATTCAATTCACTTGTGAAAATCCTCAAATTTCCATGCTGAATCCGATAACTTAATAAGCATTGGTTAATAGTGAAGTTCTGTATGGTTTAGAGATGATTATTTAAACTTGCTTCAAAGTCTTACAAAAATCACACGAAAACAATGCTAGCATTGGAGTTTTCAGGGATTCGATTACAACAGCAACTACAAAAACTTAAGCCCATAAAACCAGAAGTGGCAGACCCTACTCAAGGGCAACTGAAAAATACTACTCATTGCAGTTGAATATTCAAAAGATAAACTTTACTTTAATCAGTTTCATTTTAATTTATTTACTACGAGTATGCCAATAAATTACTTAATATATCATATAATCGTTGGCGCCCTCCGGCGCCCCTCGGCGCCTCAGCACCCCGGGCAACTGCCCGGCTTGCCTGCCCCTCTCACGGGCCCTGCTATATATGTATGAAAGGTTATTTTAGCCTATTTAAGCACATATTTACATGTGTAGTCCCGGTACGCATTTATGTTCACAAGTTTATTGGTGAGGGGGAGATGCAAACGTAAAAATATGTACAAAATATATAAAAAATATGTATGTATGTGGCAAAATATGTATGCAAATGTATGTATGTATGTACATATTACAGGTCATTTATTCATTTTCCTCGGTCAACCTATGTCAAGAAATTGAGAAATTTATTGACATACCTATTTATGTTGCTGGTAAATGTTTCGCTAAGATGATTATTAACTCTTTGCTAAATGACTGAGATAAAATCTTACCTACTGACAGAAATGCTGGACATTTCCAGCTAATGGGAAATTAATCTCTTGGTTTTAAATGCAGTGGGTATCTAGAAAGCTATTTTAGTCACTAAAAAAGACCTTGCATCAATTCGAACACTGCAAATATGCAACGATTTTCGTGCAAAGCCATGGTTTCCAGGAAAACGTAAATTAATTTACAACAATCAAACCATTTAAGCTGATGAAGTCAAAAGATTTATTCGTTACTGCGAAGTAATAATGTCAAAGTGGTATTTACATAAGCATGCAAACTTTCCATTTACTCCGAAGTCAGTATAGGAAAGCTAGAAAGATCCCGTTTTTTCTGTAGTCCATGCATATTCGCGACAATTTTGCGAATTTTTACTTGGTCATAATAAGTCCTAAATGTGTCTTCTTCTTTACACTCCTCCTCATCGGGGTGCACATTGGAACGGGGTAATTTGATTTACTATTTACATACTGTTACCCAAATGGTCTGTGAAAACTAGAAATATTTCAAGACGGAACAACGAAAAAGGGTTTGTACGATATCACCCAAAAATTGCAACGTTGTTACATAAAAATTGAAATAAAGATAGGTAGAATTTTTGTGACTATCAAATTTGTCGATATTTAACGTCTCTGGGATGTCCATGTGACGGAGAGGTGAGGAATAGAAAAATTATCGGCTAATATTTTCCAAATTATTGCAAATTTGCGTAGTACATAGTCCGACCATAAGTTCCCGTGAATGCATTTCCGGTGATAAAGCCCAAAGTATTAGAGCTATCTGATAGAAATTTTTGTGGGTGAACAAGGTATTAATCTTGTTTAGAAATCATAACTTCGTTTTCACAATTTCCTCCACGGGCTTGTACACAAGACATAAGTCGTGGCGAAAACTGCTCGATCGCGGCACGCACGGATTTCCAGGGAAAAGCGCCAGATCTTCAGTAAGTGCGACCTCAGCCCTTCCACACTTGGGTGAAATTTAGAGCATACTTGTACCTATAATTTTCACCACCAGTCATAATTTAGGGGATTAAGGTCTGCAGATACTGAGCACCGTTCTACGGATGAAAAAAAGTCATGAAAATTCGTCTGAAGCCAGTTTTGGACAATTTTGCACCTTGCGCAGGAACAGGGTCTTGTTGAAAGGTCCAATGTCGATTTTCGGAGGGTCCAGGGTTCAGGTTATTAACGTTTGGCTTTAGGACACTCTGAAAATAATTCTTGGCTTCAACTTGTACCCTTTGCGGTAAAAAACAGATTTCATTTCTCCAGCCAACTTGCTCCCATGCACACCACGGTGATGACTTCGTATTGACTTCCGCATACTTAAACGGATGTCAGACTTCTGTACAACAAATATCTCGCCTTTTTTTCTATTAAATTTTTTGCCAACGGTGAAAAGTCTGAAATACTTTTTGCACGAAAATTGGCGCGTACCACGATCACCCTGTGGCCGTCACGAGTTATGTCTTGTCTAATTGCCCGTGGACGAAATCTTGACAAAGAAGTTATGATTTCTAAACAATATTAATACCTTGTTAATCCATAAAAATTTCGAACAGATAGCTCTAATACTTTGGGATTTATTACCGGAAATGCATTCACGAGAACTTATGACCCCACTATGTACATACCCAGCAGATCTATTTTTGCTATGTCAAATCTCTGTTTCTAGTTGCCACATAGGTTGTTGGTCACATGAAGAAAATATTCGTGAACCAACAATTTTGTAATATTCAGTTCTTATTTTTCCATGGAAAAATAAGAACCAGAAGCATGCATGCTTCTGGTTCATGTTACATAATATGTAACATGTGCGACACATTAGTGCGACGATATATTTGTGTTCTGTGGGAAATATGTATCATGGATTAATAAGAAAGTGTCAAAGTGCTAATAAGAATTTGCTTCTACATATGAAAATAAGCACTCGATTAAATTATTGGGCAGATTAAATGCGATTTTTTTTATTCATGAACATATTTACATATATAATGGGAAAAGCATTTTCGATATCCATTAATTTGGAACAATTACAACTTTAAAGTATGTAGTAAACAATCTAAAAATTTGAAAATATTTATATTTGGTTCTGAACATAAAACTTGATCATAAGACTTCGAAAAGCACGACAAAAATTAGCTTGCATCTAATCGCTGATTAAATATAAATAATATCGGTTTCGTTATCGTCAAATTGAGGTTGTGCAACGGTTTTGTAACGGTCTTGTAACATAGGTTTTATACCACGTTTCCGACGACGTGTTACAGACGCTAGTTTAGGAAATCTTCTTAAAAATGCATCAGTTACGATAATAATCCCACAGACAAATCGACCTACGCGCCTAACCACACCAACAAGTTTCACCTTGTGCTCCACCAAAAACATCAACCCTGCATAACAACGTCCCACAAATGGCAAACGTATTCTGTACAGCTGCCACCGAGACGGGTGCCCATTTTTGATACTCTTGCTTGAACGGGACCCCACTATACACTTGGGCTGAGTACTTATCATACAAGTGCTTCCAATACCACTTTAAACTAGTAGTCCGAACTGATTGCATGTCCGCGCGGGACCATATCTCTATAAACCCAGCTTCTTGGAGTCTCCTAAACCCCGAGTTGAATAACGGAACTATGCAATTCCCAGATCCAAACGTTACCGCGAAAGACTGAAACCCAGTATCGCCTCGACCATGTATGACCAACCGCTTACCCAGAAACATTATTGGTTCGATCAATG